AGACTATTTTAGGAAAAAATCTGATAAGAATTTATCAAATTATTATTATTATATGGAAGAATAAAGAGCTAAGAATAGCCAGGGCACTTCTGAAGAAAGAAAATACTTGTTCTATAGAGATCAAGACTTAATGCTACAGTAAGTAAGGCAATAGTGAAGACACTAGAGTGTAGATAGTGACCAATGGATAGAGTCCAGAAACAGACCCACATATGTATGAATGTGGGCACATGACAGAAATGGCAGGAAAGAAAAGACTGCTTAGTAAAGGGAACTAGAATAATGGTTGACTGTATGAAAAATAAATGAAACTGGGCTGAGCTTGGTGGCTCAGCCTGTAATCCCAGCACTTTGGGAAGCTGAGGTGAATGGATTGCTTGAGCCCATGGGTTCGAGACCCGCCTGGGCTACTTGGTGAGACTGCATCTCTACAATAAATCAAAAACTAGCCAGACACGGTAGCGCGTGCCTGTAATTCCAGCTACTTGGAAGGTTGAAACGGAAGGATCGCTGGAGTCCAGCAGGTCGAGGCTGCGGTGCCCAGGAGCACGCTACTGCACTCCAGTCTGGGTGACAGAGTGAGACTCCAACACACACACACACACACACACACACACACACAAATATATATATATATATATATATATATGAAACTGGATTTATGCCAGTTACTTACCCTGTGTCTCTAAGCCCCAACCTCACCTTTTTGTCTGCTTCTCTATAATGCTTGGTACAATGTGTGTTTGCTCTATGTGTGTGAGAATATTCAATTCTGCTACAGAGAACAAGAAAAATGAACAGATAGGTGAAACACATCAGTTGTATTACCTATAGATAAAAAATAAGCATATCACTTGTGAGACACAGACAGAATTCAGAACATGTGCTTAAAATACAGGCTGAGTATACCTTATATGAAATGCTTGGAACCAGAAGTGTTTCGGATTTCAGATATTTATGGATTTTGGAATATTTGCATTACATTTACTGGTTGAGCATCCCAAATCCAAAAATCTGAAATCTGAAATGCTCCAATGGCCATTTCCTTTGAGTAACACATCAGTGCTCAAAAAGCTTCAGAATTTGGAATATTTCTAATTTCAGATTTGGGATGCTCAATATGAAATAAGTTAGTAACCTCTAAGATACGTAAAAATAGAATAAATGGAATATATTACAAAACAAGAGTGTTACAGGTAAAAAGGATGAATTTTTCCTTATGACTGGCAAGTTATAAGCCACAAGGTATAGATCATGCTACCTTAGGACTCATAGCCATGTGATCTCTAAATTGTTTACCTATTGGTGACACCATTCTGGTCCCTGCATGCTCTTCCCCAGAAGTGCTGACAAAAGGGGTGGCTGCCTAGAGTACTAATGAAGACCTGTGGCCAGGATTACTTGCCTTTGTGTCTTCCAATAAGGCAATTATACATTGGTCCAAGCATCTTCCATTTGCTGATCTCCTTATTCAATCTCAGTTCTGGTCCTTGTAACTACATCACTCCAGAGCAAAACACAGGATTGAGATAATGCAATTCTTTCACCCTGCTTGCACTGTACCCCAAGCGTGTTAACCCGGCGCAACTCTTTCCCCCTGGTTCTGGCTGAAGGTTTTAAATAGATTTAATATCTCTTGTGATTTGATCCTCATAATTTGGTCTGAGCCTTCCTGGTCTGTGACCTCTGGAATAGGCTACCTATCATGGAGGCACACACTGCATCAAGGTAACTTCTCACAGGCCACTGGGGCTGGGAGTCTGCATACCATGTTTCTCAGACTCTCATCAGCTGGTTTTTGGTTGGGTTCTGCCAAGAAGAGGCTCTGGAGGGAGATCAGAAGGTGGAAAGAGGAAAGATGGAACTCCCTTCTCACTGCCTCAGTCTAGCATCTGAACACCTCTATCACCAAGTATCCCGTTCAGCCCAAAAGGGACTCAAATTCTGAGTGCTTTCAAAGACTCACAATAAAAGTTTGCAATGTGGAAAAAAAGTTTTGGTTCCAAAATGTAAAACTGGAAAATCAAGATTAACACATTTTTTATTAAATATGTAAAAAAGGTAGACTTAGTCAACCTGTAAACTACAATTTGACTCTTTAGTAGTTTTTTGTAAATGTAATAAAGTTTCAATTACAAGAACAGAATGAAGAAATATTGCAAACTCAGAATTATAAAAATCATGTACCTTTTTTTAATGTCAAAGATATATTTAACACAGGATAAGGGCATATTTTAGATTGAGATGATGTGTGTGTGCTTTGGGGTGGGGCGGGGTAGGCAATGTTTAATAATAAGAGCAGTCATGACCTACAATAGTCTATAAAACGCCTGACAGAACCTCTCAGTCAGCATATTTCTATTGAGCCCTTCATTCCCGTGCGATGTAGCTAACATCCTCTTCAAGCAACAGCTTCTGTGATGGAGCAGGGAATCAGAGAATTGAGGAGCAGCCCAGAAAGGCTAGAGCTTTGAGGAAACTTGATAGTTCAACTTTTTCTGGCCTAGGAGGAAACAATGCAGGACCTGTGTCCAGTGGCCAGAACTTGTGTTTGGGGGTGGTTGAGGCAAGTGTGTATATATTTGGAGTGATGAGTTTCAGAGACCCTGGAAAACATGCAGAGTGGCTGGTCATCATCTAGCTTCATAGCTCTGGTGCCATCCATAGCCTTGCAGGCCAGAGAAGAAACAGTTCTGGTCTCTCTGGGGAAGGGATTCACCAGTCTCCCATTCCCCCTACTCCTATCTTCCCTCAATGAAGCTTGACCATTCACTTTGCCCTCGCTCCTTTGTACTTAGCATGTCTTCTTTTCGCACTGGGCTTCTTGAACTTTCATATGCATAAGAATCAAGGAGAGTACTTATTAAAAGTACAGATTCTCAGCCCTTACCCTTGTTACTGATTCTGAGTAGACCATGCTTTGAGAAACTCTGCTCCATAGAATTATTCTCTCTCTCTCTCTCTCTCCTCCCTAAGCTAGTTAAGAAGTTCAGGTACCAGACACAAGTTATTTCTGTTTACCATGGCCCAGCTACCTATTTTTTTAAAAAGAGGGGCCAGGTGCGGTGCTCAGCTTGTACAGCATTTTGGGAGGCCGAGGTGAGAGGATTGCCTGAGCTGAGGGGTTCAAGATCAGCCTGGGCAACTTGGTGAGACCTCATCTCTACAATAAATCACAAAAACTAATCGAGCATGGTAGCGTGCATCTGTAGTTCCAGCTACTTTAAAGGCTGGGGCAGAAGGATCGCCTGAACCCAGCAGGTCGAGGCCACAGTGGCAGTGAGCATGCCACTGCACTCAGCCTGGACAACAAAGAGTGAGACTCCAACTCAAAAAAAAAAAAAAATTCTGGGAATGAAGTTAGAGGCAAGTGAACCAAACAAGTTTTCATATCTAGCAGGAGGAATTGCAACCCCAATTTTGTTCCCAACCTCACATTGGTTGCCTGAAGTAGACCTCTGGAGCTCAGAAAGTTGGGAGGAGTACCAGGCAAGGCAGGGATGGAGCTAACCCCTTTTCCTTGTTAATTGGGAGTGCCAGGGAGCAACGCCTAATTTAAAAATGCATTTCTGCAGGTTTTTCTGGCCCCTGGCCCCTGCTGTCACAAAGCGGTCAGATCTGAATCAATATTTGCACTTTAAAGCAGATTCATACCATTCCATTGTATTCAATCTACTACATATAAGCCTTTGCTTTCACTGTATGATAAAATGCTTTGTTCCATATTTAAAGGAATGTTAAGCAGAAAACTCAGAATGAGGAGAGTTTGTTTTTGTTTTTAGGCCTGGACATCCTTCTGTGTAACCCAAATGCATAGCAGGTCTGAGGTGGACCATAAAGATAAACTTACTTTCATAATGCTAGGGTGTCTGCAGAGAAACAAATCAGAAAGGACCACAGGGTGCTGGTCTGACTTCCTTCCCCTTTCCTTAGGCAATGTGTCACAGACATCATGGAGACTGAAATGAGTATTTGTAATACTGTGATTCCACTCAGGATATCAGAACACGCTCTCCCAGACCTTGCCTTATCTTAGCCCTTTCCTGGTGCCACCAACTGCCTGGGTTGACTCCTCTCTCCTCCAGTCTCTACCTGCCTAGTCCCTACCTGCCTAGTCCGTTCCTAGGCTAACTGCCCAGCTCAGAGCTTCTTTAGTTCAGATCACCAACATCCAGAACAACTAAGGAGGAATAGGAAGCTCAAAGATCTACCAGGTGTGGGGGTGGAGTCACAGGAAGCCCTTTTGCTAATGGGACAGCCAGATGAAAGCCCTGGAGGCACAGACCCTGGGCTGGAGAGGAGGTGACTGGGAAGAAGGCAATCAGACATCCCGTGACCTAAGGAAGTTCTTTTTCTTTGTGATGATGGTGAAGGTTATGATCAAATTAAGTGTGAAAATATGGACAGTCACAGGAAAAACTCCAAGTTAGCACAAATAGATCTTGCAGTTAAAAAAAAAAATGAAAATTCTACAACAACGGTTTGGACAGCATAAATGAATAATTACAGTCATTTATGTGTCCTACTCTTTATGTTTCATTAACTTGCAGTGCAGTATCTGGCGTAACCATCATTAAACGTGTCACATTGGGTATGTACTAAATTCTACCCGATAAGCAAAATACACTTACTTCTCAAGTGAGGTCCTCCTGATAGATTTCTCCTGCAAGAAGGCTTATTACTTTAAAATAAAGCAAAACAAAAAGGAAAGGAAAGGAGGAGAAAATCAGATGAAACTTGCTCCTGCCTGGGCCACTGGCAAAGCTGACACCAAAGGGTTAAAAGTTAAGTGGAAGTCAAGCTTGAAGAAGTGGGATGGGGCCTCTACAGAAAGCTGAACAAGGCTCTGGAGCCGGAGCAAACCTCCACCTTTTTTGGCCTCGACGGCGGCAACCCCAGCCTCCCTCTTTAAGCCCTCCGCCTCTGGGACTAACCAGGGAAGCTCACGTTGCCAAGACTAAAGAGGGAGGGGAGGG